TGATTAATTTATGCAATGTATACTATGCAATGTATTTATTTAATTAATTTAACTTTATTATATATATATATACTAATTATATATTTATATTCATATATTGTAATATTTTATTAATTTATTTAATATAATGTATTTAAGTATTTTCGTGAACTGACTTCATCCATCTGAAATCATGTAAGTTAAGCATGAAGTTAACAAACCAAGTCATGGGATACCTCATGAAAATCGCAAAATTAGGTATAAAAAGTGAGTAGGTTTGCAGCCGGCCACCTTTTCTCTTAACTCAGTATATCTTTGCGGCTTTTCGCAAAGTATCGTTTCTTGCGTTGATGATATCTGCCGAGTCGAGACAAACAACTGCTCAGCACGGATTAATCGGAGTCACAGGAAGATGAGCCGAGGACTTCTTCGCACATTTCTGTGATCTTCATTCCAAGGCAATCATCTTTCAGTTTCCGGTAAGGTCAATTCAATAATTCCTTTCAACTATTCAGTCGAAATTATAAATCCAGTAATACTATATAACTAATTTTTTTCTCTATTATTGGTGTTTTTTAACCTTTGGTTATTTTATGCTCTCCTCTTTATGGGGATATTCCTTGCCTCTAGTCTTATCTATTTCTCCCTTTCATCAGGCAGCACCATCTTAAAAAAGATCGAGGATCGTTCTTTCGGAGGCTCTATCAGTTTGCGAGCAGCGGCTTATCTGGGACGCACCGGTCAGACACTTGCTCGAATTGGCCGAAACAGCTCTCGATCTTCTAATCCTACTCAGGTTGGTCTTGCCGCGACCTCATGAACGACCTTTATCTCTCTTCTTTTTCCAACATTGGTGGCATTTATCTTTACGCTTATTATTTATTTTGATACTCTTTTGGGGGTAGATAATCATGCCAAATAATAAAATGAAAAATTCTGAGTCAAGAGGCTGCATCTCACACAGCGTACTTAACAATCATCAGGCAGGAAGCAAGTGATTAACGAGAAGATCTGTATGAGGAAAATCAATTTTTACTGGGCGTGATGTAATAGAATCAATTGTGGTTTTGGTGGGGCTGATTTA